CCCCGGAAGCACCTCAAGGTAACCTCAAGGTAACCTCAAGGTGGAATTCTCAGTACATCTTGCCTCTAGTCCAGCTGCTTCTTCCCATGTTGGCCAAACTGGAGATGTACAAACGTCCTCCTGGATCCAGTGATCGATTCATTCATGGTTTCCTGCTTTTTTTTTTACCTCAAACTCTAAATCCTCTCAATTTCCAGTCTTGGTCTTCCAGTGGATCACCAGAATTACCTATCTTTGCATTTGGAATTTTTAGATCTGGTTTATCATCACCTGTATAAGGCCCAAGTGATGGACCTTCTGTTGTATATGTGTGGCTTTCTTCAAGGAGGCATTATGAAGTGGCATGGCAAGCTCTTCCTCTTTGCCACTTATCTTCTGTATCAGTTCCATTGGTGATATCCTGCCTTTCCTGACTCTTCTTTGATTACTGTATCATTTATTTATTGCCTAATACAGTCATTTAACCCTTATGCTGCTCAGGGCCTTAATGTCATTTAATATTGGCAGAGCCTCACTTCCTTGCTTTGGGAAAGATGAGTGCTCTACAAACTTTTTCAAGTTGACTCTGGCTAGCTACTGCTCCTCCAGAGTCTTCTTGGTCACTGGATATATTATTGTCTTGTTTTGTCCACCCATCATATCTGGAAGTGGAATTTTTATACTGTACTCTTGGTCCTATTTCTCATTTTCTTCTGCTTCAGCTCACTCTTTCACTTTTAGTTAATAATGACAAGACTGATTTTTGGAGAGGTCCTTTGGTGATTAACTCTTGGTTTGTCAGGTCAGGGTACATCATATTCATTATCCTGTTACTGCAGTCTGACATTATTTACATGACAACTGGGATCTGTATGTTGATACTTTGTTTTTCATCTCCTTTCCCTGGTTCCTTGTTCTAAGGCTTGCTTTTCCAAAATCATTAGGAAGCTGGTGCAGCTTTGCCAGCCTTAGGTTAACCTCCACAAGTCTGCATCCTTGTTGGCATTTATGAATATGTCTGTGGCAAAATGACGAATACCCAAACAGTGGTTTTTAACAGTTGAATTGGGTGTTGGCCTTTTGGTCACACTGCTCGTGTTACATTTGGGCAACATACAACTCTTTGGTCAAGAGTTGTGTGCCTTGGCATTTGGCTTATCTCTTTGACCACCTCACTCTGTGTGAAAGACCTGGCTGTCCATTTTTTCTGTTTCATTTTATGTATGTTTCCATTTCAGATTTGATGGAATCCTCTGTTGAGGTTGTGTAATAAGATAGCATTGGAGAGTTACTAAAGGGGGCCCCTTCCAGAAATCCAGTGATTAATGTATTACAGTATAATGAAATGCCTTTTTCTTTTGGGCCAGGACCACTCAGTAGCTCACTGAGCCCACCCATTTCCTTTCTTTTTGGTGGAGTTGAGACAGGTCATAAATGAGCTGGCTGGCTGACCAGGACCCCGAGTTGCTTGGAATGCCATCTGGTGGCAAGGAAGTGCATCTAGGTGAAAACAATTGCTTGCTTTTGACCGTTTTGACTTTCCGGTGGATCTTTTGCTTAGTTTGGTGGTAATTTCTGTCCCAAGGTTTCCCTTTACCTCTCTTGGCAGGCCAAATTCTGGTCTTGGCCCCAGTAGGTGCTCATGGGTCAGAGTCATGGTTTGTTCCTCAAGGCTTGATTCTTTCCAGGTTATAGTAACGAGTGACCCACCATAAAGAGACATCTCATTGCATTCAACACTAGAAACTTTCTAGTATACAGTATTTTGTTTGTACTGGTATATCATTATTCTTTATTAAGCTAAAACTGTATTACAAGTATATACATTAATGGTTATTGTGTTGTCACATTTATATATTGAAATATGATTACTATGCCCTTATACAAGCTAAAAAAAAAAAGAGTAATGTATAGAGCTCTGAAACGTTTTGCGAACAATAATATTTGTCAAGATAGTATTCAGTAGTAGGGTTTGCAAAATGAATAATAATAATAATCATAAAACTATAATAATAATAATAATAATAATAGTAATAATATGTGCTGTATTTGAAAGTTTGAGATGCCATTCCTAGCTTTGAAATAATGTAGGAACTCAGTAATCCAAATTCCAATAACATAAATCTTTGGGTAATCCAGATAAATTTGAGTTTGGGTTTTTGACTGCTCAACTCGAATACAAATTTGGATTACTGAGATTTCTTCCAAGCAAAAACCTGAATAAATTCAAATTTGTTCATTTTTTACTTTTCAGCTAAAAATTTGGCTAACTCAAGTGTCTGGCTAACTTGAATAGGGTGGACACATACAATTTGGAAATCTGCTAATCAATATACATAAGATACAACATACAGTAAGTTATAAATGGAATAAATTTTTTGTTTCGACAAATTTTTGTTTTATGATATAAGAAAGCAATATTAACTTTTATTTGAAAAGATACTTTAGTCCATATTTAAATTCGTACAGTATACAGTACAATTTTTAATTGTTCATTACAACCATCAAGAACTTTTCTTGGATTCTATTATTTTTAATTTTCATGATTTTATTTTGTTAAATGTTTCCATCAGGACACTTATCCAGTATGATGTCCTAAACTGTGATTATTTTATAATTGCACTTTGTAATTTCTTGCAAGTTTAGATAGTCATGTCTGCCAATACACTCATACATTATACATTATGTATGCTGAATGATACGCTAAATTAAATAGTGGAATTGTGGTACTTACATTTATTTTTCTATATACAACTTTGTCCATGATAGTGATTTGGGGCCTATAAACTGATATTGCAGTATATAGCTATCTTTGCCAGGTGTTTATGTTTCATTAAAAAAAAGATAAAAATGTGTCCAGCACAGTGGCTGTAGGGTGAATGTATCAAGAATGTCAGTGTATGTAGTGATTATGTCTCATGGTAACCAAAATGTATTGGAAGAAGAAAGAGTGCTAGATTACCAGCCAACAACAGCATGATGAGAAATTACCGATATTTATACTGTACTGTTAGTCAGTGTGTGATACTTGACTCATTTTTTTCTCATTACTGACACTTTCCTTTACTTGTTTATTTGTAATACTGAATATTATTTGCTATAAAAAAAAAGTTGTTATGAAAGAAGGTTTTGAGAGTGCACAATGGAGGCTGAAGGAGCTTCTGTCTTGATATAAGACATGGTGCAACCCTCCATCAACATATATACTGTATAATGTTTGAAAAAAAGAAAGAAAAAAGGTCAGATCAGATGATAGTACATCACCTGATCAGTGGCAGCAGAAGCTCCAGTCATTTACTTATGCAGTATTTACCATTTGGTTACTTACTGGGAGCTGCTGATGTCAGCGGTTATGTGATGAACCGTTCATCTCAACGAGTTGTGTTTCTGGATATATCCACCACTCAAGGTGTAGACTAAATGTTTAACAATCTCATGAGCATTGATAAGGATGAATGGTGAATCAGTTCCTTTACAAGCCAGCCTGTTAAGGGAATTTTAATAGAGATGTGCTTATTGGTTTACCATGCCAGGAAAAAAATACAGATCTTATTTAACAAGAATGATTTAAATGATAAGTGTAATTTTTAGCCCTCAAAAATGTCATTAATTAATATGCATCATACTAGACATCAAATTAAGCATGAGAGAAAAAAGGAGTCTGAGGGCAAAGTTTAATCAAGTCAAACTGTGTAACCCATATAAAAGACTTATCAACTCAGTGGTAAAGTTTTATCCATAACTTAAAAAATACTTAAAAACTTACTTTTATGTATTACTCAAGTAAGCAAATTTAGCTAATGTCTAATTTATAATTACAGCATAAACAACGTAACCAAACTGAACAACAATAACAATCTACGATAACAATAAATCTAAATTTCATAGAATTTGTGTGAATGTTTAGTTTGGTTCCCAAACATCATTGCTCAACTTGCCAAGGGCAAAGCCATTTGTCCTGTGTTCCTTGAGATATTGATGAAGACATCTATGTTCCCCTCAGGTTAACTACCCAAACGTCCCCGATTTCAAATATAGAGTTTACACATGATATATAAAAAAAATATTCCGATTAAGTCACATTATGTCGAATATTTGCAGCACATGGCATATTAAATATGTAACTTGATTGTCTTGTCATAATGGATGACTTTATAGTCATAGAAAGTAATCGTTGAGACATCTTGTGTAATTACCTAAGTGTAATTACACGATGAGATGTATGTATGTATTTATGTATTATAATGTATGTATATATATATATATATATAAATATAAGTGGGTACCACCCCTGGTTGTTAGTAGGGACCCTCAAGCCTCAAAGAAGAGGATATGCAGCACCCGGGGGAGCCTTATCAGGCTCCCATGTGCACTGGCACATATTGTCTTCTCCTACCACCCCCTTATATACTGTAAATATTGTACTGTATATATTTTCTTAAAAATATTATCTATTTTTTCAGGACACACAACCTGCATTAGTAATTTTATTGCCATATTTTAGAAAAGAACTATATATTGAAAATGAAATGAGAATTTATTAAACTTAATGAAGTATAACCTTGCAATATAAACACAGCCACAATTGGATATACCTTATGTATAACAGAGTTGCTTACTAGGTAAAGAGGAGCACTATCCTGAAGTACTTCAAGAGTACACCTACCCCCCACATGCTCCTGTGACTATGCACCCACACCAGTCTCCAGCCCCTGTGTGGACAAATGGTCCCAGGACATGACCTGTCAGTCACTGTGTCACGGTACAACCCTTAGAACACTCTGGACAGCTACTCAGCACCAATTTTGTGTCTACTATAGCATACAGAGAGGAAAGATACAGACTGAAATTATGAATAGTTATGGGAACCAATCTAATCAATCACCTGTAATTCCATCTTTACAGAATTTGTACTAAGCATCAACAAGGTGACTGGAGCTGTGTGAATGATTAGGAAAATGCCCAAGTTTATAATAGTTCAAGTAAAAAGTAATGTATGGAATAGCCAAGGATACAAGATGTTTGTTCTTGTTTTTATTTTGTATTAAACAAGGGGGTGTCCACTCTTAATTTTCATAATATGAAGCTCAAACATTTTACAATTTGTTATAACTCATCTCCGGTCACCCCTGCCGAATAATAATACAACTTCCTTAGTCGAAAACATGCAAAACTTATTAAATCACGCTCTACTAATCGTCATATTCTCAGAACTGATTGCAATGGCGACAAAATCACTAAACCCAATAGAGTTAGTCCAATGTGAAATGTCAATCATAAATGACTGGAATAAGGATATGATATCTGAATACATGATTTCATTTTTAAATTGGTACTGTATAAATTAAACTAAATTTACCACAGTTATGGAAGAACATTTCAAGCTTCAAATGAATAAATACATATGTCATGAAATTATACTAAAACTTTCATAAACTCATAACTACACCAATACATTGTTTAGCTCCATTCTGGATCCTTGTATCAAACACACCAACACATGCATGCATCCACACATTCACACACACCTAAACATCTTTCTACGCCACACACTAGGTTATTCTCACCCTTCAGTAGTCATGTCATAAGGCTCATCACTCCTTATTGCAATACTTCTGGGCCAGAACATCCACTTGTGGCACTATGAGTTCCAGCATCAGCATCATCATCAGCCCACATGACCAAACATAGGAAAGCTGGTCGGTCTTCCCAGTGATATATATCATCTTTGTTTATTAGTGGTACATATTGTATTTTTTTATAGATTATAATACCAATTTTATTCATTACTTAATGTGACTGAAATCATAAATAATGTAAATTTTTTTTTAGCAATTTATTTTCTACCAATATTTTTTCAACATTACTATGTTATAATCAGTGTAATAACTAGTATTTTTCATGTTTTAATTTTTTTGTGGAAAAATGTATTTTCAGTCAAATTTCATCATATTCAGCCTCAGAAATTACAAATAAGTATACATGTAAACAACCACGGGAACAGACCACCACACCATGAGTCATCAACACAGCACCTCAAGGTTACTGTATGCCCAATGTTTGTCTGTGTGTGGTTGTTCTTGTCCGTAGTCACAACACACAACGATAATAAGCGTATCATCAACAATGTAGATTCCAGATATTTAGCAGGGCCTTACAAGGCTAACAGAAAGATGTGTGGTGGGATAAGGGGGGGAGGGGGGGGCACACACAGGTACCTACACCTCATACTGACAGCATGAAGGAGTGTGCACCGTCACCGACTATTAACACCAGTGGATGTGATAAGGCTTTGCTTCTATTCACCTCCTAACACTAATTTGGTGATGGAACAGTTACCTGCTCACTGCAGATAGGCGATACGAAATGGTCGTAATTGGTAACCATTCCTGCTACGTGCAGCCTCCACTTGACAGGACACTTTTTTCATTATCGTGGTAAGAGGTGAAATTTACTCTTACCCACAATGCACTAGTAGTAATAAGGGGCACTCATTGCCACAAGGCTTCACACTTAGCATGAAGAGTACTTAATGTTGCCTGTCCCTTCAAACCAGCAGTTTGAGGGGGCACTCATTGCCACTCGCCCCTCATACTGACAGCTTAAAGGGACAGCCCCCCCCCCCTGTCCCTCACACTGGTCAGGGCTCCACACTAATGTTCCCTAGCTAAAAGACTCCTGGTGAGGGTGCAGGATGGGAGGACAACAACAGATCAACAAGCACACCCTCTTGCTCCCAGGGAATACTATGGGAGTGTGTCTACTGGCTCTCTTATACAACCACACACAAGTTCCCTCATCAACTGTTTTAAATCTGGTGTGGCTTACCTTAACTAAATAATATTTAGCTTTCTAACCAGGAGTTGCAGAAGGGCTTGAATGTGTTTTACCAAAATAAACAATTAAAGTTAGGGTGGTCAAGGTTCTATGACCCACTGATAACATGCTATAAATGTCCATGGGTTTATACAATGTTGTTGACGAGTGAGAAGCGTAGTTAGTGCCCCCCCTGGCCTGGCTGGCAGGCCATTGATGGTGCACAGCACAGTGGCCTGAGGGGAGCGTGGCCCGGGGCGCCGCCGAGTGGACGTAATGAAGAGGGGAGTCAGTGGGCCTCCCTGCCAGGATCACTTGCCCCTGTAAACCTGGCTACCTCTGATACAGAGGCTACAGTAGATGCTCACGCCACCAGATCGGGCGGGTCAGGGCCGAATAGGTTCTTGTAAGAGGCGTGCAGCCGCATGGTGTCCACGCCTGCAGGGGGTGGGGGAGGTGGAGGCAGACCTTCATCCTGAGCTGAAACATGACGCTGCCGAATGTCATTGCCCCATCGGGGTGCAGGAGGCGCTGGGGGCACATCTGGAGGTAGGCCTGGAGGTGAAGGAGGTGCTAGTGGTGCTGGTGGTGGTGGAGGAAGCATCCGAGGCAGATCAGCAGCTCCTATGCTAGCTGCTGCAGCGCCACTTGCAGAACTCACAACTGCAGCCCCAGCACCAACACCAGCTCCCGCCCCTGTCCCAGCTGCACCCCCAACTCCAGATCCAGCTCCAGACCCACTTTCAACATTGACACAAATCACTGATGGCTCATTAACCCCATTTGCCTTGAGTCTTCTCTGCATCATCATAGAGGCTCGCAAAGTTTTCCGTTTCTGAAAATGCAAAATCACTAATAATTATACAAAAACAAATCTGCGTTCTATATTGTTGCAAAGTTTTCATATTCATTCTTGCTTGAAAACAAAGAGAAATATACACTAGATTTATTTTTTAACAAACCTCAACAGCTCCTCTCCACTTGTCGGCAGCATGTCGAGCAATTTCCAGCCGCTTTTGTTTACGTATCTGGTGCTTTTTGTAAATTATTTCAATAATGATTAGTCCTATGCCACCAACAATGCCAGCAGCAACCAGGATAAATACACCCGCCATGTTCTTGAGACCTAGTGTTGCCGGCGCTTTCTCATCTGTGTTGCACATGTCTTCCTGGTTCTGTAAAATCCATTTGTTATCTAGTTCTTCCATGTAACCACTCTCATGGAACTCCAGGATAGCCAGAGTCACCCTGTCTGCCCAAGGTGAGTTCTTTTTTAAGCCTATACCATACCCTGAGCGGCCAAAGAGCTCCCCTGCAGTCACCAGTTCACAGTCCTGGGCAGCCTCATATTCCAAACGTGAACTGTCCCATATGAAGGCTTTCAACTTCCTGATAATTTTCAAACAAAATTACTAAATTAAAATTTTTTAAACATAACTATTTGATTGAAGGCACCTAAGTATAATACCCTATACTTAATAGCTTATCAAGAGTAGTAAATAGAAACTATCATTTCATTAAATGTTTTTAAAAGACATACCCAGACTTGACTGCTGTGATGGCTGCCTCTGCAGTAGGATAGTTGTTGCCCTCCATGGTGCGGTACATGTTGCTCAGCTCCACCTGTCGTCTGAAGTACATGTCCACTGACGATCCCTTCACTGTCGCATATGTGAAGTTTTCCATTGGATTTCGTAGCTATTTAAAAACAAATAGATTTGACAGTACAGTACATCCACTTGAAGACCAGTGCACATGTGAAGCACATTGTTGCCTGTCATAAAATCCTTTGAATTTTATTAATTTTATTAATTTTATTAATTTTAAATATATGATTATGATGTTATATATATTCTGATATAGCATGATAAAGAACTTTATGAGTGAATGTGAAAAGCATGTTTCTGAGCAGGCCATCAGTTACTCCCTAATGATGTCTTTGACACGGATCAAGAACAAACAGGACAACATACTAGTACAATGCTACAGGGACTTTTCAAATGTCCACTACAGTGTCATAATAGGTGCAAGGGAGGCACTGGAAAAGAATCTGGACTGGACCAGTGATTGCCAAACATAGGCTCCTGCTAACTACCAGTTAGCCTACTTTGTAAGCCCCTATTGACCACTACTATGAGGAAGCACTAAGCATTTCTCTGTTTTCCTGCTTGAGCCATCCCACAAATTCTCTGATATTATTTCTGTTCATAATATGCATGGAAAGTGAGACAGAAAGTGAGGGAGGAGGAACAGCAGGAACATTCATATTCATTCAAAAAATCCTAATTTCTGAGTTATTACATTTGCCTGCTCCCTACAGTAAGAATACTGAATGAAAGAAACAAGACAAGGAAAACTTGCTCATGATGCAGAGCAGTGCCAAAGAAACTGCCCAGCATAGATGAACTGAGGGATGATGGCACCAGTATATCCACTACCAGGAAAGAGCTGTGTATAATGAAAGCCTACTTAAAGCCACATGCTGGTGGCCCCTGGGACTGCTTAGGGCACAATATGTGGGCTGCCAGATCAAAATTAATCCCTTATTTAAGCAGGGATTATACTATATAGCATATACATGTACATATTTCTAATAATCAATAATTATTTGTTTTAATATTACATACTGCATAATTTTTCTTTGTGTTAATAACCCTTAAAGTGCTCCTGTCATTCTTAAGCGATAGATCTATGCTGCTCCTGTTATTCTTAAGCGATAGATCCATGGTGCTCCTGTCATTCTTAAGCGATAGATCTATGCTGCTCCTGTTATTCTTAAGCGATAGATCCATGCTGCTCTAGTCATTCTTAAGCGATAGATCCATGCTGCTCCTGTCATTCTTAAGCAGTAGATCCATGCTGCTCCAGTCATTCTTAAGCGATAGATCCATGCTGCTCCAGTCATTCTTAAGCGATAGATCCATGGTGCTCCAGTCATTCTTAAGCGATAGATCCATGCTGCTCCAGTCATTCTTAAGCGGTAGATCCATGCTGCTCCAGTCATTCTTAAGCGATAGATCCATGCTGCTCCAGTCATTCTTAAGCGATAGATCCATGGTGCTTCTGTCATTTGTGAGCAATTTAATGTGCCTCTTATTATTCAAAGTTCCTAAAAAATCTGTGGTTATCATTCTATATTAGAAACCTCTGGCAACCATTTGTCTTATAGGTAAAAATCCTGAAAGCCTTACCTTCCTTCCTAGGCCACATTAAAAAAATTGCCACCATTTCAAGTGTATCATCATTGTTTCCTGACACCTGTGTTCAGGCAAATTGCCACTATGCAAAATTTCAAGAACTTTTATTACTCAGGAAGATACATGAGATAGAAATATACTACAAATAGTTTACTGTCTACGCTCAATAACTGAATTACATGGGGCTCACCCCCAATCAAGTTACCCAGATACTTGAGTTACCTGAATTTTTACCCAAAAAGTAAAATAAAAAAAAGTAAAAAAAAAAAAAGTAAAAAATTTGAATTTGGGTTTTAGTTCAGCAGTAATCCAAATTATTATTCAAGCTGAGCGGTCAAAAACTCAAACTTGAATACTGTATACAGTATTCATATTTCCCAAAGATTCAGATTACCTAAATTTGGATTACTGAGCTCTTACAGTACAGTACAGTCCTGTACTTGAAAATTAATTATCAAAAATATGACATCAACATTCCTTTACTTCATTACGACCAAATGAAAATACAGTACATGTATTTAGATATTTTCCCAACATCAGAAATAAATGTTTTATGATATAAAATGGAGAAATAATTTTTTAGAATTTTTATGAGCACCTAGAAAGAGATTTAAAAAACTGTGCACAGTTTGAGGGTTATGCATTATTTTAATATAATTTGTGTTATAAATGAAGGCCGCAAAAACCTGCTACAGCTTGACATCTGGTCTGGGGCCTGACAGCTGAGTGGACAGCACTTCAGATTCGTAGTCCTGAGGTTCCAGGTTCGATCCCCGGTGGAGGCGGAAACAAATGGGCAGAGTATCTTTCACCCTGATGCTCCTGTTACCTAGCAGTAAATAGGTACCTGGGAATTAGACAGCTGCTACCGGCTGCTTCCTGGGGGTGTGTAACAAAAAGGAGGCCTGGTCGAAGACGAGACTGCGGGGACGCCAAGCCCCGAAATCATCTCAATATAACTTCAAGATACAGTAATTTTGTATTTTTATCCAAATGATGCAAACACGATCTAGAATTTGATTTGGCTAAATTGCTCAGAGATCCAAGTTATTGAGATTCAATTTAGTGAGCTCTTACTGTATGTATTGTACAAAGACTGAAATGGTAAATGTATAAGTATGACCTATTGTAAACCAGAAACTAAGTTTCATGGCTGAAAACAAATCAACCTAAATTAAAAAATCTAGTCCCAGACTGTTGACTGTACGTGACAGAGCAGTCAGATAGTATGTGAAGTGGCTTGGGCAAGGAACCACGAGTCATCCATGGTGCTGCTGCCTCTTGGTGGCAGTCGGCAGAGGCTGACCAAGCTGGATAACAGTAGTTAGTGATGGCTCTAGTTTGGTGATGACCAGTACAGTGTTGTCATAGGGAGCATTTGGAAAGGCTTTGATTTTATGTGAATTAACCTCAGTCGATCATTCAGATCCGGAATGATTTTTTCTCCAGTGCCTCCGTAGTGCCTAATAGTCATGTAGTAGACATTTGAAAAGTCCCTGTGCTGTCATGCTATTACGTCATCCTGTATGTTTGAATATGATCCATGTTCAAGCTCAACCCTCCAAGAGTCTAGTTGACTAAACCATTAACTGGCCAGGACAGAAACCAGATCACTGGGACAATGTTCCTTGGCACCAGCTCAAGGTAACCTCAAGGTAAGACACAATATGATCTTACTTTATATAATAAGCATATTATGAGTCAAAAACTTACTTAAAGGGTCTTAAAGGGTTAGTTAAGTATATTTTTATTAAACCAAATTTTGGAAAGATCCTTACATCCTTTATCAAGGTGCTGTAGACAATGTTTACAGCACCCTGATATAGCATGTAGGTTTCATCCAAAAATTTGGTGTAATAACAGTATACTAACACATGTGTTGGGTCTTTTCTTCCCTTTTATTATTATTATTATTATTATTATTATTATTATTATTATTATTTATTAATATTATTATTATTATTATTATTAACTGTTATGGTTGTCACAATGAACACATGGTGATGGCCACATAAATGTCATTATACTGTACAGAAAGAAGCCTGCTTTGCCATGGTTGCTCACTTCATTTGAAGTACATATAAACCATGCAGTGTATTGTCTATTTTAATATATCTTACCATTTCTTCATGGTAAAATAATTTACATTTCTGAGCATGGCTTATTTTTCCCTAATGAAAGTGTCTAATAGCTAGAGTGTATAGTACATGTTCAACAGAATCTGAAATAACTACAGTACAGTACTAAAAAGACTTTATCTTCTGACCCTAGCATCATTGATGCCTGTGAGGGAGGTTTGAGGACGATCCAACACAAGGAAGGCGGCCAGGTTGGCAGTGTACGAAGCTACGATGATCATAGCAAATCCGGCCCACACCATTCCCAAGACACGTGCACTGAAACTCCGCGGCGTACCTGTGACAGGGTGAGACACTCTACTATTATGTGGTTATTAGTAGAAGAATTTTGGTAGGGGTTACTATTGTGGAGGGGGTCACATTTCTCTGAAGGGTCTGGATGGACCACTGTTGAAGTTACTAACATGTTAGATGAGAGGAATATCATTATGGCAGAAACAAGTGTGTGCATGTCTGAGTACCTCTGATATAAAAGCAACTGATAATTATTAAAGTGGAGATGAAATAGCTCCATCTAACCCAGAGTGACAACAAAAAGTTTACTCAAATACTCAAAAACTCTCCAAGCCCTACTTGGCATCACAGAGATCACCAAGTAGTGTTCTTACCAAACCACTACTCTCCCACCTTACTGCTTCCCTCAATTGCAACCTGATTGCTACACCCTAGCCAACACCAAGATCCCAGCCTCAAGCCATTTCACATGTTCACTGGCACAAAGAAAACACTACAAATAGAGAAATCAGAGACTCAAGGAAGAGAATGGGTGCATCCAAGTCTTGCTCAAAATGAAGCTTCTCATATCGATTCAAAGCTTGATGTCTTAGCCTGGATGCTCTTAAAGGCAGCAGTATAAGAAAGTGGTCAACAAAATTACAAAGAAAATAAATGAGGAAAACTGACCTCGTGTGATGCAGTGTGTAGTTCGTGAAGCTGCAGTGCAGGCAGTAGATGGATACAACAATGAGCCACTGCAGAACACCAAGTGCCTCAACAAGAGTAGAGCAGCTTACCTGAAGGAAAGTCGTCCAAGTGCACACACTGACAGCGTAGTTTGGAAATCCTGTGGAGGTAGAAGGCAGTGATAGGTTTGCCAGAAGCCTCGAGCTTGGATGTTGAAACAGGACATTGCCAAGAAGAATGCCTTGAGAATGGCAAACTTCCAAAGGACATCGGCCCAAGAATACACCTGTGGTTAACTCACTGGACCACTCTGCAGAGCAGCTTAGTGATACAGGGCACCATGGTGTGAGTATTAGGAAGAGAGATTAGCCTGAATCTGTCAATGAATCTGGAGATAATGATGTAAGGCAGCAAAAGGACAGTGTGTGTGTTTTATCAGAGATGGACAAATAGGCCTGAAACAAGGCATCTCATGAAAGAATAAACCTCATATTTTGCCAAGAAACTTGAAATATGATGAAGATTCATAAATTCATCTCCATGACCAAAAGTGAAGGAGCCAGGATGTTGAAGGAGAGCATGAAGCCCAACAATCTGGGGGCCTGTTGCAAGGGCAAGCAAGAACATCTTAAGGGTGAAATCCTCAAACAAAGGAATAACTCAAAACCTGCCAAGATACAAGCAGCTCAACACCCTTATCAAGCAGCCAGGTGAGTTCTACTGGTAAAACTCACCTGGCTGCTTGATAAGTCAAGCAGCATTACTTTCTAATGAAAGAACATTAATGAAAGTAAGCCCTACTGAACTAAAGAAAGAGAAGACTTGACAGATCTAGGCTGGATACCAGCAAAGAATTAGAGGAAGCAGTGGTGTTTAGCATAAGTTTCCAATCCCAAAAGAACCAGGTGAGAAATGACAATGAGAAGAACTGATGCAGAAAAGGCCTAACAAGAGCAAAACAACTTGAGGAGCCCACCAGTCCATCTAATACTGCCAATGAGAGGAGGCCAAAAAATGTTTTATGAAAAACACTTATCACCTACTCAGGTAGTTAGTGATTCCATGCAGATAAAAAAAAATTCTGGATTACCAAATGTGTCACATATATTCAGAAAAAGAGTTCTCATCCACTTCCTACTTCATCCAGCTCAGATGAAACTTGAAGAGGTTGCCTGCCAATACATATGAAACTCCTTGAGGGTAACTTACTCTAAAAGATTAAATCCAGCCGAGCCAGAAGAGAAGCTATAGCCGATGTCCAAATCTGATGATGTTGCAGGCTCACGTCAACATTTGGGAAATGACAGCTTTTTGAACTGCACTCTAGATCATTCCTGTTCCAAGAGATTAGGAAACTTGTCTCTACTTTGCTGCACTGTCAAAATGAAGACGAGTTATGGCCTCGTGGCAGACCCACTCTGGAAGAGACAGTACACATCAGTGCACTGTTGAAGTGAAGACAAGATACCTAGCCTCTTGGTAGACCCATCTTAGAAGAGACAGCATGCTATCAATGCACTGGCATTGGTAGTGGAGATGAGTTACCTAGCCTCTTGGAAAAGAACTGAGCAAGAGTGAAACTCAAACAGCTGCCATTTCCCAAACACTGATCAGAGCCTGCAACAGCATTGTAGACCAACACCCATGGCCTACATGTTATTGGCTGGAGACAGAGCCCCCAACCAACACTGGAAGTGTCAGTAAATAATTCAAGGAAAGGAGCTTGAGGCCTCCAAGAGAATTAATCCCCCAAAAACTCCAGATGAAGTCACTAAAGGACACTTCTCAAGGCCAAGGGAAGCTACTTGTGACAATCCTACAACTGCTGATGAACCTCAAAGAGGAGAAACGTTCTTAATGCCTTTAGTTAGAAGTGGCCAAGGAAATATATCAAGCAAACAAAATTCAGCCAGCAGAATATGCTCTTGAGATTCCAATATCCCAGAAGCAACTGTAGAAAAGGCACAAGCCAGGCTAAAGCAATTCTTGGAGAGAAATGGAGCCAGACCCAGAGTGGGTCTGCCATGAGGCTAGGTAACTCATCTTCACCTGAGCCCTACCCACAGGAACACTGTGAAGGCTGCAGTTGAGATTTAGGCTCATTTATCAGAAAAGCAAAATTTCCTCAAGCTAGCAGGCTAAGCTGCTAACTGGGAGCTTAAATGAACCAGTCATAAACAAACACAAAGACATTAGTTCTATGAAGATGGATGGACAATCACACAATTTCACAAACATAAAATTTAAATATGCTATGCCTAAGCAAAAGGATATGAATCTTGATCAACTCATCTAAGCTATTGAGGTCAATGCTCCACTATTTGGCCACTACTCCACAGTAGTGACCAAATTGAGGTATGTATTATAATTTCCACTAAACCACTTCACTTTGGATGCAGTTGCCCATAAAGACTAAATTTAAGTGTATTAAATGAAAGGATGTGATGCAGGTAGAATCATATCCTGGTTGCTAGATTCAGCATGAAAGGGAGAGCCCAAAAGTGGTGAGATGTGTGACTTATCAGGTAGTCCCAGCAGTCCCTGAACCTCAGATGAATGGGAACATGCCAATAAGCATGGGACAAGTGTGAGGTGAAAGAATTTGATGGACCAATGACTAGGTTGCTAGGCAAAATGTAGTACAGAAAATTAAGACACTGATCTCAGACAAACACAGAACTGCTGAAATCTCTGCTTGAAGAAGACTTTCTTCACCGCCGAAAAAAAAAGAAAATTGAAACCCAAAGAATATATCACACTAAATTACGCTAACCAACAACTCACAAATGTGAGCATGGACGAAGGCAGCTGTATACAGCTAAGTAGAAACTTGCAGGGGTGAAAAGACCAACTCCTGACCAGACCCCAAGACCTTACTTGCAAGGCCCAGGCATCCCTGGCTGGCCCTGGCCTGATGAAAAGCCAAATTAGGGGTTATTTACCATGGAACTCTAACCCACCAAAGCAGTAAATGCCCAGACAGTACAGCACTCCAGCTTAAAAGTCAACTAGAAAAAATCCTCAAAAATATTGGAGAAACTTGTCTCAGTTGAAGCCATTAGAAATAGTGGTCCTTAGAAAATGTAGCTTTGTTAGAGGTAGCTGCTGCATTGCCAAATGTTTTGGCCTTGAGCCTTCAAGCTGCATCAGCCAGTATTTTTACTGTATGTTATGGCTGCAGGTGCACTGTGCTGAGGCAGTTTCAGAGTTCTGAACATTTTTGCTGTTTTTCTCTTTACTCTTCTTATCCTTGGAATTTCCTGATGAAATGGTGCAGCAGGATCTGTATGATGCAAGGACATCCTTTCAGCCATTAAATCAGGTGTTCTAGTAAGGAGGCTGGTGGATGTTTCTTTTATGATTGGGTATTAAAATACAACTGAACAAATTAGAGGATGTTGATTCGGAAAATTTCTTCAAAAGGTCAGATGTAACACAAACAAGGAGCAACGGTTTCAAGTTCAATAAGCCACAATGTAGGACTGAGAACAAGAGATGCTTTTTCACCCACAGGGTTATTAACCAACGGAACTGCCTACCCGCCAAAGCTGTTAATGCCAAAACTGTTGGGTTTTAAAGTACAGCGGGAAAAGATCATCAAGGGGAAATAGGGGGACCTTTGACACGCCACTGGCATCTTGTCCTTGTCAAGGCCACTAGTGTTAATGGCTCTCAGGTAAACTCTCAGGTAAACTCAGGTATTTTTTTACTTCTGCTATTCCTGCAATTGCAGGTAGGCAGTTCCAGGTTTGGAGAAGTCGCAGCAGGACTATTTGTTGCCATTTTAGTAGGGCTTGAAAAGGCTTTGAGTGTTAATGAGAGTACTTTCTGTAATCAATGGGTTGGACTGAGCTTTTCCCCGGTGCCTTCACAGCACCATTATAACCTCACAGGAACATCGGAAAACATCCCTGTTGAGCTGGTGAAAATGTCACCCTGCTCTGATTGCCGTAATCCTGTCTAACAGGACATTCATTGATCTTACCTTAGCTTGTATCAGTGGAATAGCTAAAAAAATAATACTTTATTACCTTAATTTTAAATCTATTATACATGTAAGCAATATATTATACTGTGCAGTATGTATATGAAATATCTACTTGTGGATATTAAAGGTTTTAAATTGTGCTTTGGCTTAACTGGTGAATCTTTAACTCATTTGTAGCTAAATTAATCCATTGCCTGTTGAATTAAACAAAACTTGTTCAATCATCCAGTCAAGATTTTTCAAAGCCTACAGTATATCAAATTAAATGTGATATAAAGATTGTCAAAAACTATTTATACAGTTCTACAGAAAAAAATTACACAGCCAATTGATAATTCAAATATCATCACAAATCATATATTTTGGGTTTGTAATACAGTAGTTGCAAATTCTCCCCAGTTGAATAATTTGCAATTTGGCCAACAAATGTATGGAAATATATAAACATTCCTGTAAATTTTTCAATTCTTACTCATTTTTACATTTCATAATTGTTATAATATAGTGTAAATCTTGATAAGATTCATTTGATTGGCAATAGTGAGGGACAGGAATCCTGTTTACCTTACTGAGATCTTCCCCAGGCCAACTAGGGGAGTTGGCCTGGGGGCGAAGCAGTCCCTGTGGCATGTGTCGGCATGTAAGCGAGTGTCTTACCACTATGCCGCGGGGACTGCTTGGCCCCCAGGCCAACTCCCCTAGTTGGCCTGGGGAAGATCTCAGTAAGGTAAACAGGCTTCCTGTCCCTCACTATTGCCAACCAAATGAATCTTATCTGACCCCCCTCTAGGATGCAACCCACAACAGTTGCCCAATTTCCAGGTCCTGTACCTATTTACTGCTAGGTGAAACAGAGGCATCAGGTGCAAGGAAACATTGCTGAAATACTCCTGTTCTACAGGAGAATTACAATAAAGCTAGGACCATATGGCTGTAATGTGACTGCACCAATACAGTACGTGTACTGTACTCTTGACACTGGACGTGTCCTGACCATGTATTATCCTCTGTACTATCTAGGTGTCACCTCATTACTCAAAGAATTTCATCCATTTTTAGTTTGATATTTTGAAATTTATTAGTAAAAAAGATGTCTATCAGTAATAGTAGTCGGGCTAAACCAGTTAAGACAAATAAGACATTGACGATAAGAATGCTGGGAAAGGAGCTCATTGATGACACTTGCACTGTTTCTATTATCAAAAAGCCAAAGGAGAGAGTTCCAGCGGCAAAGCTTGAGAGGTAAAGCCTCAGGGGCATAAATTTGTGTGAGTTTGATCAAGCAGTTTACAAATACCAGAAGTGTATTGTGATACAATCAAAGACATGGTTGTGGACTATTTAGAATAAAAGCACCATGTGAAACACAGAAACCCTTTCTCAAGCATTTCTTTGGAGTTACCAACTTTTTCAAGGGTAACAAACAGAAAATTATAGCTCCTTAAAAACCAACAATTCAGGTCAGGTATAATGTTTACATGCTAGTGTCATGATGACCTAATCGCCCCGAAAACAACTGTTATCTTACATACACTGCTGTTTCCTCTCAACAAAAATGCTAGAGGGTTGACAATTTAACAAAAAAATCACTGTTTTCATTGTAATGATAGTAGATATACAAATGGCTTCACACTATTTTTGCATCATTAAGTTCTTTTCATGTACAGTCAATTTTGCTTCTCTTCAATGAACGGAATACTAACAATTTAATTATAAGATATTTATGTTAGTGTATTTGTATTTCAGTCACATTTATGCTCATTAAATTTATTTTCCAAACCTCTAAAGGTCTCTCCTTTATACTGTACATTTGATCACATCCACCACAAATAACAACAGACAACTTCATTTAAAATTCTAAATCTCATTAATGTCATGACTCTATTTTTTGATGGGCAGAGTAATCACTACTATACACTGATGTCAGTGTATACATACAGTCATACACCAAGAAAAGTCATCGTCAGTTGAGCAGTACGATTCTATTATTTTGTGTTGTCCTGGTGTTTACTATATTAAAAATCCTTTAAAAATATCCAGTCTTCCCCTTCAATCTTTCCCAACAAAATACAGCAAGCACCTTAAATTCATAACAAACTCTTTAAATCTCCTCAATATTAACCATTAAAAGCTTGGCTGGAAATGTCGAGAGATAAGCTTACCTTCACCTATACCACTGTTGAGCAAAACTCCCCATGCAAACCAAATTGCAGAAGACAGGTTAAGAGCATCTTCCTCTGTGCCATCCATATTGGCAAGCTTATACCTGAAATTATGAACAAATATATAATGTCAAGCTGATGATAGAACTCCTCTTATTCTAGATGCAGTAGCACTAAAGTAAGAAGCTTTTAGTTTTGCTAAATATTTCTCAAACGAGTAAGTGTGAGAGGATGTGATGATGCTCAGCAGAATTGTTTTTTAAGGGAAAATATAAATATTTGTTGTATTGTATTTGACAATTAAACGCAAAGAATTGCACACCTGGTCTTATGTAGTGCTGTGAGCAAAGACTGGAATGTTTTGGCACTTGTTTATACATGATTCTACAAACAATAATGGGCATGATATTGTAGATGAATGATATTTTATAATATATAAAACTGTCATTCCTGAGTTTACCTGAGAGCCACTAACACTAGTGGCCTCAACGAGGACAGGAAGGCAGCGGCTTGTCGAAGGGCCCCCATTTGTCTTGATGATCTTTTCCAGCTGTACTTTAAAACCCAACAGAGTTTTAGCATTAACTGCTTTGGTGGGTAGGCTGTTCCATGGGTTAATAACCCTGTGGGTGAAAAAGCATCTCCTGTTCTCAGTCCTACATAGCGTCTTTTTGAGCTTGAAACCGTTGCTCCTTGTTTGTGTTACATTTCATCTCCCGAAGAAAATATCTGGATCAATATCCTTCAATTTTTTCAATATTTTAACAGTTTCAATAAGATCTGCCCTGTCATGCCTAGTTTGTAGTGTTGTTAGCCCTGTGGCCTTCAACCATTTCTGATACGTGAGTTGACTTAACTCTGGAATGATTTTTGTTGCCCAGTGTTGCACTTTCTCCAGAGCAGCTATATCCTTCTGAAGATGAAGTCTCCATGCTTGGATGCAGTAATCCAAATGTGCCAGCACCAGAGATTTATACAATTGAATCACTACCTTCTTTTCCATGAAATTGAAGGTGCGCTTCATTATTCCAAGTGTTTGATTAGCTTTTTTAACTGCTGTTCCTACCTTCTGTGCAACTTTCATTGAGTAATGGATTTTGACTCCAAGGTCCTTTTCCTCATCAATCTGCTGTAATGTAATGTTATTAATTTGGTAGTTGTGGCGTGGGTTGTTGTACCCCACATGCAGTGTTTTGCATTTGTCAATATTAACACTTTCGCTGCCCGATGCCGCATATTTCGTCACAGAACCAAAATACAGAGTGTGTGTGAAGATGCAAATGGCGTCATTCATTTTTTTTTTTTTTTAGAAATTCCATATATTGTCCAAATACTATGGGACTTATTTTTAAATGTGCACCAACTTCTGCCCATTCTCTGTATATCCCATGTGGCCTCCTGACCCAACTGTGTGGGCACCCACCCACGCTGGAGGCTCACTGTTCTCGTGACCTCGTTTGTGACAGCCGCGGCCTCCCCTCGAGTCGAAAAGTTTCCCCATTCTGGTTAATTTTATCTCAGGTATTTGTTGTTATCGGCTTTATAAACACTGAAAATTGACTTCCAGATGGATACTGATCAGGAACAGAGCCAATCCATGACGAAAGCATTGAAAGAAACACGAATGAGGGAAAAGTTATTGAGTTTTTGTTGAAAGTATAGAAAAGTGAGACTTATATGTTCTTATATGCACATTATCTCTTTACAGCATTCTATTGTGAACAATTTGATACCAAATTGAACGATGTAGTATGAAAATTGAGGTCAGAAAGCTAAAAATTTGATTTATTTGAGTATAAACATTTGTGGGGGTGGCGAGCTCATGCACACCGCTCTGCTAACCTTGAGGTGCGCGGCAGGTCGCCCGCTGGGGCAGTAAAAGTGTTAAAATGCATTTGCCAGTCATCTGACCATTTGTGGAGTTCCTGCAGACCTCTTTGTAAGGCTACAACATCATTATCATTCCTTACTTTGCCATAAATCTTTGTGTCATCTGCAAATTTTATGATGTGGTTTGAAATATTCTGTTCTATGTCATTGATGTATAAACCAAAAGAGTTGGCCCCAAAATGGACCCCTGTGGTACACCACTTACCACATTTCTCCAATCAGATTCATTCGCATTTAGCACCGCTCTTTGTTTTCTTTGTTTTAACCATTGTGTTATCCATTCTAGTATTCTTCCATTTATTCCCTGTACCTGTAACTTCCCTGCCAGTCTTTCATATGGTGCCTTGTCAAAGGCTTTAGCAAAATCCATGTATACTATATCAACCAAAAGTCATTTGTCTGAGTAGCTGATTACCGTTTCAAAAAATCAAACTACCTAACTGTGATTATCTAAGTGTAGTTACAGGATGAGAGCTACGCTCGTGGTGTCCCACCTCCCTAGCATGTGAGCAGGTGTTGCACTTGTTGTGAATTAAGGGGCGATGATGAATGTGGGATTGGATGTGCCCCAGTGTACCCGTAACGGGTTAATCGCAAAGCCTAATGGCAAAACGTATGATGCATATCACCAGAAACTAGTATGTCTTGCGGCAAATAAATGCACAGACAGGCAGATGATTGGGAGACCTCCAGGAGTCTCTCAGGGTGACAAGCACCAGCCCCACCCCACACAGAGAACACTGGGTAGCAAAACCAAAGACTCGCCCCCCCAACTACTAAAATGCAAAAATCATCCAGTGCCCTCCGGTAGAGCAGAAACCAGCCGCCTACCACGTCTGAGGGCACACCAAGGGGTCACTAACTCCAGCCATCTCTCGGCTAAGCCGTCGCAGGACACCATCACCCCGCCGGGAGAACCAGCCAAAAAATGTTTGAAATCTATCAACAATCCTGTGACCCAATGCGACATGAGTGCCAAGCGTTGTAACAATCTGGATCATTGAATAGGAATGCCAAACGGCAGTATCAAATCCGAAATTGCGAAACAGAACGTAATCCGGCGTCTCCCAGGCGGAGGAGGTGTACACACATCCGCTCGTCGTCAAGGTTAAACCAGAAGTCCTTGTACTTCTAAGGCAGGATTTATTTTTAACAAACTCATGTTGAGTTGATTTTACAAGATTGTTCACTGAGAGATGGTGAATGATTCCCTCCCTTAGGATTCTCTCCATGAGCTTGCAGATGTGTGATGTCAAGCTGATTTGACGGAAGTTCTCTCCTGAGCTCTTTCTGCCATTTTTTAAAATAGGGCCTTTTATTATATTAGTTCCCTTTTTATAATCTAAGCTAATACCTCCCTACCCCATGACAGTGAAAAACAGAGTAAAGATAATATATGTATTATAGGACTATGTATCTATACATAAAACAAGATCTGAACATAAGTCCTCTAGATATAAATCAGCAACCTACCGGCCAAAAGGACTGAATCTGTCGAGGAGGTAGAGGACAAGTGCCACTACATGTACCGACACCATGACCAGAATCCACAGTGTGTTGCGAAAGGGCTGAAGAAAGGACACTAAGGTGGAGTACCGAGGTTGCTGTGGACAGAAAAATAAATATAACTACTATACTGTATATCTGACAAGACAGATGGAAAAAGCACAACTTTACATTGTCAATTTTTTAAATCACAGTACTTGTCCACAACAATAATCCCTACACTAAAAGATATTGCCAATGCCAGATGACAAAGAGGATCAAATCATTTGAAGGGGTATTAATTTCACATACATAATGATTATACTCATATGAAATAAAGCAGTTCCAATGTAAAATTTGGTTAGTAAATTTCAATGATACAGTGAGATGAAGGCATGGGAGGCACTGAAATACTGATGAGGCATCAAGACATTGAATGGTGTTAATACAAACCTCATATTATATAGCTATATTTATTAACCTGTTTTTACATAACAATTATTTTGTTTAATTTTCAATGAGACTTAATAAAGTAAATTCAAACAATATCGAAAAGGAACTCAAACAGGACAACAATGGAACTCAAACAGGACAGCAAAGGAAGTCAAATAGAACAACAAAGGAAGTCAAACAGGACAACAAGGAATTCAAACAGGAAAACAAAGAAAGTCAAACAGGACAACAAAGAAGTCAAACAGGACAACAAAGAAATCAAACAGGACAACAAAGGATATCAAACAGGACAACAAAGGAAGTCAAACATGACAACAAAGAAATTCAAACAGGACAACAAAGAAGTCAAACAGGACAACAAAGTCAAACAGGACAACAAAGAAGTCAAACAGGACAACAGTCAAACAGAACAACAAAGGGAGTCAAACAGGACAACAAGGAATTCAAACAGGACAACAAAGAAATCAAACAGGACAACAAAGGATGTCAAACAGGACAACAAAGGAAGTCAAACAGGACAACAAAGAAAGTCAAACAGGACAACAAAAGAAGTCAAACAGGACAACAAAGGAAGTCAAACAGGACAACAAGGAAGTCAAACAGGACAACAAGGAAGTCAAACAGGACAACAAGGAAGTCAAACATGACAACAAAGGAAGTCAAACAGGACAACAAGGAAGTCAAACAGGACAACAAGGAAGTCAAACAGGACAACAAAGGAAGTCAAACAGGACAACAAAGGATGTCAAATAGGACAACTAAGGAAGTCAAACAGGACAACAAAGGATGTCAAATAGGACAACTAAGGAAGTCAAACAGGACAACAAAGGAAGTCAAACAGGAAATCAAATAGGACAACAGAGAAATTAGGTCAGAAACAGACCAATAGATCAAAACTAGGTTGAAAAGACATTTTACGACATTATTTGCCCCAAATGGATAAAAGACACATAGTAGGATTTTCCTCAGTAGTCAAATCACCTACCTTTCTTTCTAAGATAGTGATTCCTTGATACTTGAAAGGCTTTGAGAACTCTATAACCTGCGCCCGCTCTGGGTTGATGGTGAGAGGTGCAACTATCATGTCGGCACCGTGGGTTTGGTTCACCAGCTGACCAATCAGACCAGTCCACTCTTTCTTGCCTACAACACAGTTACACATTGATATAATGCACATCATTATTCACCCAGTAATCAGGGAATGAGATATGGGTTATAAAGAGATAATTATATACTGGTAGACATCAGTGCAAAGTTGAAACACCAAATTGTTGTTAGATTTTAAATGTAGATGAAGTCTTATTTTGAGGAGAGCAAAACTTTAGTAAGGTCCAGAGTATATGTTAAATATGAGGAATATGTTGATGCAGGGAATTTTATTTACCTGAGCCTATCTCATCCCAGGATAAACAAATTTATTCCTACTTTTAGGAATAAAAAAGCAAGGCAGTATAGTTTAAATAATATAATTCAGTATAATAATCCAATGAAGGTACAGCAAATTTTTTATAACATCACATTTTATGTAACCTATGCACAAACTGACCATTTTCAAACTGAGTTAATAATAATCTGTTAGAAGAGTGCCGACTAGTTTCGAACAATGAAATGTTCTAAACAGGTTCCTACTGTGACCAACAGTGTAATGACTCGTGTGCAATGCCTAGCTTTACTGTTAATCTTAATGTTTGCTTTTCAGTTAAAATATCAGTTTGTTTAATTTTTGTCAATTTTAATTTACATGTTTCATTTGCTAGTGTTTGCAAGTACTGTACAGTACTACTGTATATGTTTAGTTGTGTATGAGAGAATGTATGTTTGTCTATATTTGAAAATCATCTTGAGGCAATGTAGGAACAAAATGTTTATTTTTTCCTGCGCATCACGGAATTGTCATGGGACACTACGAGCATTGCTCTCATCCTGTAACTACACTTATGTAATTACATGAAACAGGTGCTCAGTATCAAGGTTAATTAAAACATTTTCTAAAATTACAAAATAATTTTAGTTTTATGACAAATTATATTAAATTGACTACAACAATATTCTCTGATTATCTTACCTGTGTTTTCATTCATCTGGAGAGAACCAAACTGGCCGTCAGGAGAAAGCGCAAGTTCAAAAGTGAAATTGATCTTATTAGCAAGTGTATTGAGCAAGTCAATGCAATAACCAGTGCAACAAAAGAGGTCAGAGCCCTCTCCTGAGCTATTGTACCAAGGACAGAGAACACGGCCACCTCCCAGACATTCTGCTTTGCTTTCAATTTTCTGTGTTGTCACAAAAGGTTTCTCCTCAATAGTCAGGACCTGAGGGTATTGTGATAATGTTAAATATGAGGGCAACCATATTTCTAACACATTTAAATGAAATCTTGAACGATATAATTTGGGTTTCATCATTATCATCGTCAGTACTGTAGCTCCTACATTGTTATTTTTTGCTACTCAGGAAAGGTTGCAAAGGTATGAGTTGAGAAATTGGTAAAAAATATAAATGTGGCAGGCAAATTATTCTCAGTATAATTTTAGCAATTTAACAGACAAGGCATATATTGCTACATATAAATTATCACAAAAAAGCTGTCAATCATTTATTCCCTCCTAATAAACTGTTTCCATTCATTCCTATACTTTACTACATATACAAAGTATTCTCATACACCATATTTGTCCACCTACTTAATATCTTTTTTCTCTTTTATTTTCCTACTCTGAAACTCACTTGTATTCATGTTCCTTATCAATTTGCTCCTCATAGCTATACTGCTGTAGCACATTTGCCTCAGCCTTAAAAGTTATAGACTTTTTTTTACTTTGCTTTGCATTACAGTTCTGAATTTCAACCATCCTCTGACACAATCAATACTCTTTGGATTATTAATATCTAATGCTCTAGTTGGAGACTTCGTATTCATATCAGACTTGTGTTTCACATCCATTCATTAGGGTTGAAAGAATTAATCATTCATTCACGTATCTAGCTAAGTCAAGTTTACAACTTACTAATTTCTAAGCACAATTGATCCTTTGACTGACCTTAAGTCTTGTGGGGATCATGTAACCTTGGGGCTTGATGGTCGTATTTCCTGGCCACACGATGGCGTTCTCATTGATTTCTAATGTCATCGTTTCTTTTGTCTAGCAATTGGTCACATAAGTCCACAGGGAGTCGAATATGAGGTCACAGCAGGTTGGGGTAGAGAGTAAATAACACTAAGAATATTAGTACAAAAATTTAAAATCCAGTGTTGAATGTAATGAAATATCTCCTGCTGGTGGGTCCCTTGGTAGCTCTCCTAGCTACCCACCTGGCTAGCTGACCTACTTAAGAACTGCACCAGGATTCGGTGATTCGTGAGTGCCTACAGAAAACCAGGACCAGAATCTAGCGTCCTCAATAATCTGGAGATCTAGGATCATCACAGTACTCAAAAGAAAGATACACAAAAAAGGCCCTTGTGCAAATGAAGTTCAAACGATGGACAACATTTATCTGAACAAGCAGAACCTGAGCCCAGTGGAACAGCAGTAATCGTATCAACAAGGCACCAGGTGTGAGAATATGTGAGGTGGCATTTCAAAACAACTGGAGGCTGGTGCTGCCACCTGGTGGAGCACATGAGTGATGGATCAGTGGTTTGACTTGGGTAATGATTGTTTATATAGTTTGGGACAGCAAAGCAAATGGTAACCATGTTTAAGCTTTAAGTACCACTAGAAAACTGTATGTCATTTGTTAAATTTCTTAGTAAAATTAAGTTTTTTGTTGTACAGTCTCTATATTACTTTACATCTCATAGTGTTAAATATTACCCCAAAAATGTACAACATTCATAATCCTAAGTTATGCATGAGCTGCTGTGCATAATTAATGGCTTTATAAAGTATACAAATATTGTACCTACTACATAACCACTATAATCTTATCTGTATTTTTCAAGAACAACTGAAAGAGTGCATCACGAGCGCTGTTTGTAATATGGGGACTTCAAAATTGTTCATAAAAGGGGGGCTAAAATGAGGACTGTGAGGCCGTTTGTAATTTCAGATTATAAGTCTGTATGTTTGTATGTCATGTCTGACTCCCTGTATGTCAGCTAGCCAGGTGGGTAGCTCATGCAGCTACCAAGGGAGCCCCTCCCAGAATAGGCTAATTTACTTGAAACTATAAGATCAATGAGTAACAAATATTCATAAATCAATAATTATTTTTATTGTGCATGAAAGTTAGTAATATAAGTTTGTTAAAAAGTGATTTAAGTGTATAACATTTTTAATGTCATAGAGTATAAAATAAGTTCACACGCATTCATAAACCAGGATATTAGTTATTTCTGAGGTAGCGCTTAAGACGTGGCTCCCGACAGATTATGAACTGGGACCACAGGGCCATGTCATCTCACCAGGCATTTCAGAATAGCTCACCCAGAACAAGAACCAGAATTTTGCTCTTTCACAGAGGCAGGGGAGCTAAGCATGTCATAAACATCATACATTCCCAAAAAGGCAAAAAAAAATTGCACAAAAAAATTGCACAAAAATTAAACAAAAAAATTATTGAAGTATTTGTTATGGACGAATACTAAACAAAACTTAAAGTTATGCAGAAATAAGCAAAATATCACCCTCCTGCTACCCCCCCTCTCACCATCAGATGACAATGCTAGTCAACCAGGGTCAAGTGCCACATAGCCCATCACTCTCTTGCCTGATGACACAGGGTGACGCAGGTAAATATAGCCAGGCATCTGGTTGATTGATACCTGGTTGATGGGGTTCTGGGGATGTGCAGTTGGAACAACCGTGGACATCTTTTAGAGGAAACTAGATTGTTTCCCCCAAGGAGTGCCGGACCAACCGGGGTGTGGTGGATATGTGGGCCTGCGGGCCGCTCCAAGCAATAGCTTAGTGGACCAAACTCTCAGAAGTCAAGCCTGGCATGGGGAGTAGAACAACTCCCAGAACCCCATCAATCAGGTATCAATCAACCAGATGCCCGGCTATATCTACCTGCATCACCCTAAGGCTGTGTTTATTTTGTTTAGTGACTAGTGTTTCTGTTATTATTATAATTTAGTGTTGCATTTTCTGCTTTATTACAACAGCATTAATGTCTGATGGCAGGAGGGGGTAAGCAGCATGGTAGTATTTTGCTTGTGAATAGTTTTTAGTTTTGCTTGGTATTAAATCGTATCAAAAAATGTTCTCTATGGTTTTTTTTTTGAGCCCTTGTAACCTGCTTTTATCTTTCTGGCAGGGTTTTCCCCTCAGTGTATGGTGTCTGTGAAATCCTCTGGTCCCCTGCCTCTGTGAGGAAGGAGGGGGGGGGGGGAAGGGGGGCAAGATTCTGGTAATTGGTACTTGTTCCTGGTAAGTCATGAGAAAGTCTGAGCACACCTGGTAAGATGGTATTAGCCCTGGGAATCAGTGCATAAGCTGTGGAGCTCCCAGAAAAAGCTATTACTGTATCTGGTTACCCATATAAAATGGCCATTTCCTAGCCATCAATATGATGTACCATCTAGGTCTCTCCCAAATTGTATATGAACTTGTTCTTTTTTTTACTTTATATATTAATTTATACCCAGTATTATTATATTTTTTGTTTATAATATATATATATATATATATATATATATATATATATATATATATATATATATATATATATATATATATATATATATATATATATATATGTACTGAATATTGATCGTACCATTGCGATCAACCACCACACCATTGATCGTCTAGATGATCAATGGTATTATGGCCACAGTACTGTGTACGTTTGGGGGTAATCCTGGACGTCATATATATATATATATATATATATATATATATATATATATATATATATATATATATATACATATATATATATATATATATATATATATATATATATATATATATATATATATTATATAGAGTAGGCATCCATCAGTCTCAGGAGACTATGGAGTTGCACTCTGGTTCTCGGTCTGGAGTGGCCTCTCCAGGGCGCAAAGCTTTCAAATTCGTTTTGAAAGACGAGCATTTCACATGACGAGCTCGGTGCCGGAACGGATTAAATTCGTTAATCGAGGTTCCACTCTGTGTGTGTGTGTACGTGTGTGTACGTGTATGTGTTTACTAGTTGTGTTTTTGCGGGGGTTGAGCTTTGCTCTTTCGGCCCGCCTCTCAACTGTCAATCAACTGTTTACTAACTACTTTTTTTTTTTTTTTTTTTTTCCACACCAAACACACACACACACACACACACAGGAAGCAGCCCGTGACAGCTGACTAACTCCCAGGTACCTATTTACTGCTAGGTAACAGGGGCACTTAGGGTGAAAGAAACTTTGCCCATTTGTTTCTGCCTCGTGCGGGAATCGAACCCGCGCCACAGAATTACGAGTCCTGCGCGCTATCCACCAGGCTACGAGGCCCCTAGTATGTATGTATGTGTATGTGTATGTAATTACCTAAGTGTAATTACCTAAGTGTAGTTACAGGATGAGAGCTACGCTCGTGGTGTCCCGTCTTCCCAGCACTCTTTGTCATATAACGCTTTGAAACTACTGACGGTCTTGGCCTCCACCACCTTCTCACTTAACTTGTTCCAACCGTCTACCACTCTATTTGCGAAGGTGAATTTTCTTATATTTCTTCGGCATCTGTGTTTAGCTAGTTTAAATCTATGACCTCTTGTTCTTGAAATTCCAGGTCTCAGGAAGTCTTCCCTGTCGATTTTATCAATTCCTGTTACTATTTTGTATGTAGTGATCATATCACCTCTTTTTCTTCTGTCTTCTAGTTTTGGCATATTTAATGCTTCTAACCTCTCCTCGTAGCTCTTGCCCTTCAGTTCTGGGAGCCACTTAGTAGCATGTCTTTGCACCTTTTCCAGTTTGTTGATGTGCTTCTTAAGATATATTGCACACCACACAACAGCTGCATATTCAAGCTTTGGCCTAACAAAAGTCATGAACAATTTCTTTAGTATATCGCCATCCATGTATTTAAATGCAATTCTGAAGTTAGAAAGCATAGCATAGGCTCCTTGCACAATATTCTTTATGTGGTCCTCAGGTGATAGTTTTCTATCTAGAACCACTCCTAGATCTCTTTCTTTATCAGAATTCTTTAAAGATTTCTCACATAATATATAGGTTGTGTGGGGTCTATGTTCTCCTATTCCACATTCCATAACATGACATTTATTAACATTAAATTCCATTTGCCAAGTGGTGCTCCATATACTTATTTTGTCCAGGTCTTTTTGAAGGGCATGACAGTCATCTAAATTTCTTATCCTTCCTATTATCTTAGCATCATCAGCAAACATGTTCATATAATTCTGTATACCAACTGGTAGATCATTTATGTACACAATAAACATCACTGGTGCAAGAACTGAACCCTGTGGTACTCCACTTGTGACATTTCTCCATTCTGATACATTGCCTCTGATTACTGCCCTCATTTTTCTATCAGTCAGAAAATTTTTCATCCATGATAGAAGCTTACCTGTCACCCCTCCAATATTTTCCAGTTTCCAGAACAACCTCTTATGTGGAACTCTGTCGAAAGCCTGAAAGTCGAAAGCATGTGTACTTTTGTACTCACCTAATTGTGCTTGCGGGGGTTGAGCTTTGGCTCTTTGGTCCCGCCTGTCTGTCTGTGTGTGTGTGTGTAATTACCTAAGTGTAATTACCTAAGTGTAGTTACAGGATGAGAGCTACGCTCGTGGTGTCCCGTCTTCCCAGCACTCTTTGTCATATAACGCTTTGAAACTACTGACGGTCTTGGCCTCCACCACCTTCTCACTTAACTTGTTCCAACCGTCTACCACTCTATTTGCCAAGGTGAATTTTCTTATATTTCTTCGGCATCTGTGTTTAGCTAGTTTAAATCTATGGCCTCTTGTTCTTGAAGTTCCAGGTCTCAGGAAGTCTTCCCTGTCGATTTTATCAATTCCTGTTACTATTTTGTACGTAGTGATCATATCACCTCTTTTTCTTCTGTCTTCTAGTTTTGGCATATTTAATGCTTCTAACCTCTCCTCGTAGCTCTTGCCCTTCAGTTCTGGGAGCCACTTAGTAGCATGTCTTTGCACCTTTTCCAGTTTGTTGATGTGCTTCTTAAGATAT